GGTAAGCAGTGTCAATTGTGGTTTTGCCGGAAATCGAGATACACCGTTTTTTTACTCTTAAAACTCACCCCTTTCCACTTCCCGACGTCAGATCGCCCGTAAATTGTTTTTCCTTTCATTTTTGTTATATTCTCGTCCTTTCTCAACGGGTGTCATCCAACTATTATTTTTTTTTGTTTCAAAAATTTTCGACCCTGGTCTATTATGTATCTTTTCATGTAGCATCGGAAGTGTAGTGTGCTCCTTGTGCTATGTATCGGACATATGTGTGTTTACTGGGAATTCATACGAATTTATATCGGTTGTACAAGATCATTATCACTTCACAATAGAACACAGAATATAGTGGAAAAAGAGTCGCGAAAAAATAGTCATAGAGAAAGGACTGCCCATGCCCAATGCCCATTATGGAATGTAGAAAAGTCCTTTAATTTGCGAGTCTCCACTCCATCACCTCTCTGAATTGAAGTAATACAAAAATCTGGACCACCCTGTGTCATTTCCCATCAGTGGTTAAACCATGAAAACTGCATACAATTTTCTTTGTTCTCTTGCGTCACTCATAGTTTATACGTCATTCATTCATTACTCTCTGTCTGAGCACTGACAAAGGAGTCTGCGACATTCTTAATGTTAATTCACCACATTTTTACCATTCTCAATGCAACCAAGTCGAACAACACATCCTGAATTTGTTAATTTTTCTCTAATAATATTAAGGTCGTCGATAATAATTATTGCAAGAAAGGTCGTTTCATACTCTAATAATCGCTGGTGAATTCATTAAGTGCCGGTATTTTTGTTTTCAATTGATTAACGAGATTAAAACGATCAAAAAGTGTCTAGAATTTTTATAGAAGTTATGGCTAGCAATAATTTGTTTGAGGGCGTTGCGGAAAATTAGATTATTCAAATGATCCAATTACGCACCATTATGTGAAGGTTATATAGAAGTTTATTCGAAGAAAAATCATCATTGTACAGAAAATAAGTCATGGATCAAAAGAAGTGGGGTAGTAGGGAGGGTATAACGGTATATGTGCTTATCAAATGGTTGATGGTTCAAAAGTTATTCTGAAAAACACGATCCATTTGAAAAAAAAATAACAATAGGATGTCTGTTGAATAACCCCGTATGCTATCTACCATTCCAGAATCTGTATCAAATGGGCAACTTCTTATAATTGGTTATCTTTGTGGGGTGGTTTTTGAATCTTCCGGCGGCATTTAAAAATCAACTGAAATATTTCATTCAATGACAAAACTCAAGGAAAACAACATCTTTCATAGGTCTCTCGTCCATCGCGTAGGTATTTACGCCAACAACGGTGACATAACGTCTTTCATATGTATGAACCATGGGGTAACCTGTGCCATCATGAGATGAGGCTTCAACACTTAAAACTTACTTGTTGATTCATTTTGAAACAACGATTTTATTCCATACATTTGCATTGAATTATTCATGTTTGTCGCGGCGGCTATTTAGATAAAAGTCGCGGTACTGACATTTCTTGTCTGTAGAAAATACCAACAAAATATATATTATCTTATATTATTCAGAGATTGCAGTTTTGGAATTTGTTAAACCATTTCAATTTACCACCCTGTATAACAAGGTGGGATTATCATCGGCTTCCACCAATGTTTAGATTGATCTTTAAACATTTTGTCATGACAATATGATACTCAGTGATTTTAGATAGAATTTCTACAGGATGATGATTGAATGAGTGTAAAATTGCAATGTGGCTGTCAGCTCACCGTTTATTTTGACCTGTATCCTGATGATTCATGCTTGTTCTCGAAACATTTTTGGAATTATTGAACTTAGAGCTGTGATAATCGTGTTATGAATATCAATTCAAAATGATGCATCCTTCCAACGATTAATTGAATAAAATTGGAAGTTGATGTTCTTGTTCGAAGAATCAACCTGTGATGTATATAGTCTCCAGATATGTGATAGTGTTAGAACACAGAAACTCTTCGTCTATACGAAGTGTCACAAGAAATACTGAATGATCGAATGGAGAATAACGTACTCCTCATTAGATGAAACTTGATGTTATCTGTATCACTAGTGAAATAATGGAGTGTTACATAAAGTCTGGTGTAAGGCCTTCAAATAGAATGACGATTGCCATAGATTCGACAAAATCTATTTCTCAATTCTGAAGAGCATTCAGAAACAAATTTCTTCCATTTGCAATAATATTTGAGGAGTCTATGATGAGATTTGAGTTGCATTTTGTATTACTGATCTAACACCCAGAAGGACAATTGTGATATAGTTAAAATGAGATAAAATAACTCTTGAATTTTAATTTTGTACAGATTTTAACAGGGTGATCCATATAAGGAATTCATAGTATTTCACCTGCTATATTGGAAAGATGCTTCAGAATTATCTCATTAGTTTTCATGTGATTTTCCTGAAAAGGACTACAAAGAAACGTTCCAAAAACTTCAACTCATCGATAAATATAGGGAGATTCATGAGGAATTAATTATATTTCACCTTCAAGGTTCAATAGTGAATAATTTGAATTCCCTTGTCAATAAACTCCTTGCACGAAATACAATAACTCTTCCCTTCTCTGGAATGAATTCAAAGGCCAAATATTTATGGATACTTACTGTGATTTGATTGTAAATGATAAGTCATACTTACTGGTGATTTGATTGTAAATGATAGGTCAGTTATGTAAATTCTCCACTATGGTGGAAAATCCCTTATGATGAATCACCTTGTGAAAGAGATATTCAAGAGATGGAAATTCAAGAGTTATCCCATTTCAACATTATACTGAATAACTGAGAAGAAGACCATATTCTGGGTGCTAGATCAAGATCCAATGGTTACAAGTTCAGTATTCATGATTATTCGACTCACTCCTCATTGACTTCTCAAATTCAATAACAAATGAAAGGAGTTTGTTTCTGAAGGCTCTTTCATATTACCCTTTATAAGCCCCATCAGGAGTTCCTGTATCCATACATTTCACAATTCTCGACAATGAACGACATTGTACTCTTTTCCATTCGAAACGTAGCGATTTGCATCATCATTAAAAATATTCCTGTTCATCCCGGCGCAATTAGTACCTATTTTTATCGCAACTTGTATATTCATTATCGAGCATGAAATAAATGTCATGTTTCTGGAACTACAACCTCAATTATTTCAATTTCATAATTTATTTTGACGAAAATGTTTCATTTTGATTTAAAATGCATACCTTATTCATTATATTATGCTATTTGATCCGAGATATTACAAAACCATTCCAATGCCTCACACCAGACTTCTTCTTGACAATGTTACACCCCATCATTCCACTAGTGACACAAAAAAAATCAAGTTTCATTTAATGAGGAGTAGGTTATCATCTCCATTCGATCATTGAGTATTCCTCGTAGCACTTTGTATAGACTCCTCCAGGAGTTCCTGTGTTCGAATACTATCACATATCCGGAGACTATATGTATACATAAAAGGATGATTCTGCGAATAAAAACATCAACTTCCAATTTTATTCATTCAATCGTTGAAGAATGCATCATTTTCAATAAATATTAATTACACAATTATCAAAACTCTAAATTTGAAAATTCCTAAAGGGGCATCAGGATACAGGCCAGGAAAAAACTTATAACGTCTGCTCAAACAGTAAGGTGACGACCACATTGCAATTTCACACTCATTAAATTATCATCCAGTAGAAATTCTGGAATCACTGAGGTCTCATATCGTCAGGACACTGTTTATAGTGCTAGCGGTACACCGAAAATATCAGAAAAAAACCGCATTTCGTATAGAAAGCAAAATTTTTTGCACACTCGTTCTTGATACCCAAATGAACGATTTGCCCCGCAGCACCCATTTTTTTGGGTGTGTGGGTTCGATTTTCAGGGGGTAGGGGTGGTTCATTCCACGATGATTTGAAAAAAATTAAAATGAAGCTATAAAGATGATCCAGATGTCGATTCCATATTAAATTGTCTTGAAGAATATAATGGTGGCACCCTTTCAGCTCTCGGTTCACTGGAAGTGTCTCAAAAAGCTGCCATTTTGGAAAATGGCGCCTGGTATGGTACCATTGAGAAGCTTGCATAATTCGAGCCGAGTGAGGTATGGATTTACATATTTCAGGGGTCTCTGTGTAAGAATTTACCAAAAAAATATCCCAAGGTCACTCCCAAGATTGTCATGAAATGCGGTTTGAAAGGTGTGCGAGTATTTTCAAAATCACATTATGAATCTATATAGGCGCTATTGAAGTGGAGTTTTCTACTAAAATAGTCCCACTTGTGTTTATAATGCATTATCTACCTAAATTGTTCAAAAGCCTCCATTTTGTGATATGACTGCCAGAAAAAAAGTATAATGAAACATATTAAGATAAATGATCCATAAAAAAATTGACATATAAGAAAAGAATAATCAAAAACATTGTTGACGTGCAAATATATATGAAATTTATCACGTGGTATGAAAAAAAATGAGCAAAATAACAGTTGAATAATCACAATAACTTCGGATACTACTATGTAGAAAATGAATAACATAAAACAATCACAAAGTCATTGCATTTCATGGACAAGTAATAGTTTGGTCAATACATGGATCGATTGTAGGAAAATTATACTGCTAATTTGAATAAGCGCGCCACAGACGAGCTGGAATCTAGTACCTAACCTCTGGCTCACATCCCCTCTTGTTTTCCCCTATCGTCTCTCTCGCTTGTGTCTGCAATTTCCTGGAAATATGTCTCGAATAGTCTGCTGCAGTCAACAGCAAAGCGTGTGTGGATAGAGAAAAAAAGTGTATGATTTGGCCTAGGTTGTGTGGTGTGAATTCGTTGCAGTAGTTTTTCAATTTTCGGTGAGTAGGTACCTACCATATTCCTTTTATTTTTGCTTAAAATGTCCAGGCTCTTGGTAGTTAACTTCATTTTCTTCCTGTTAGTTATATATTTGGACAGAGTGCTTTAAGAATGCCGAAAAACAAACATATTGTAATAGCAGTAACAGACGATCTGGTGAATGTGTCAGAACCAAACTTTAACTGGAACGCTTGCTGTATCTGTCAGGGTGAAGGCAAACTTGTGTGTGCTGCTAATAATCCAGTGGAGGCTAAACGAAACAAGGGGTACCAGACACTTGCAAGTAATCTTGAGCAGCTGAGATGCTATAGTCATTTCAAACTCAAATGTGGACGGAGTATTAACGTACTTGATGAGGGTAATGGAGTGTTGGCTACTTTCATAGCACGAAAAGCAAAGTATCACAAAGCATGTATTCTACCATTGACTGCTAAGTTCAGTTCTCTGCTGAAGAATGTTATGGCACAGGTAGATCAAAATGAGTCCTCAAATAATGATATACATGTTCATGCCGAGGAAGTTCGTCGCACGACTCGATCTAGTTTTGCTGCTGTTACCCTCATGGCTGAATCATGCTTTATTTGTGGAGAGCCAGAAAATGAACAGCAATCACTCCATCGCTGTGAGACTCATCATTTAGATGAAAACATTATGAAGTATGCGAAAGGTACAGGAAATACAGAACTGATAGCTCTACTGGAAACCAGAGGAGATTTAGTCGCTCAGGAGGGAAAGTATCACAAAATTTGTCTGACTCGTCTCTACAGTAAATACTGCCGAGCTAAGTGTACAAGTCCCTCAGAAGAAGAGACACTTCTATGTGAGGGTCTCGCATTCTCTGAACTTATGATTTTTATAGAAGGAAAACTTTCGAGGCATGAGTACACATATGTTTTCAAAATGAGAGATTTAAAAAACATGTATGATTCGAGAATTGCACAACTGAATGGAGTATCTAGGGACGATATTTCAGGAGAACATACGACACGCCTCAGAGAGAGAATACTAGCTCACATGCCCTTCTTGAAAGAAGAGAAGTGGGGAAGGGAATATGTTCTCATGATGGAAGGGACAAATCTGATGCACAACTTCTCAAAAGAAGATCAATACGATGATGCAATTGGCTTTCAGAGGTTTGCAAAAAATCTCAGGAGAGTTATGTCTCAGTGCAAGTCGGAATTTGATGGAAGCTTTGCACAAAATTGTGAGGAGAAAAGTGTTCCAGGACCACTGCTGGCCGCTGTCAGTACTTTGTTGTACGGTTCTGGGGTCAGAGCTGAGTGTGGGGCGACCGCCCCTGCTCTCACGATTTCACAGCTAATTTTAGCGAATTTTCATGAAAGCATGCCACGTGGTGAAATTGTTAGACAGAAAAGAGACAGAGAACCTCCATTGACGCTGTACATGGCACTATCTTGCTACGGTAGAAACAGAGATCGAACCTCGATCGACCAGATGCACCGAAAAGGAATTAGTGCCTCGTCGAACAGAGTGATGGAAGTGACAGCGCAGTTGTGTAGAATGGTGGTCCAAAGATCAAGGGAAGATAATGTTGTTTGTCCTTCTATTCTGAGGAAAGGCCTGTTTACAATTGCGGCATTAGACAACATAGATTTCAAATCTACGAGCAATACAAGTGCAGGCGACTTTCATGGCACTGGTATCTCCATTTTTCAATGTCGTCGTCGGGGAGAATCTCAAGGAGAAATCAGGACATTCGCTACATCCTACAAGGATGTTAGTCAAAAAGGAGACCAGATTTTTATGCTGAGATTCCCGATTGCACTCTCCCCCAGAACAACCCCCCTGCTCTTGGATGCAGTTTTGAGATAGGTTCTCGTCTGTATCCTTTAGGTAAGTTCAGATTTCTTCTCAATTTTGTTCAATTGTGTTTAACTTCAGTTGATTATAAGCAACAAAATAGTTTCGATTGCTTTCAGGTGATTTTTCAAGACAGTGGCTACAAGAGGCAGAATGGTTGACACATCTTCGGGAACAAAGTGGCAATTTGCACGAGGCCATCACTGTTGCCTGGTCGGCTTATCATGGAAGTCGTTCATCTGATCGATCGCTGTTGAAAGCTATCAATGTCCTCCTACCCCTATTTTTCGAAAAATCGACATCAATTCCAATGCTGAGGCATGGAATGAACATTGTGAGGAATATAACGAAGTATCTGAATGGAGATCAAATACCTGTAATCTGCGTGGACCAGCTTCTCTATGCCCTCATGAAAAAAATTCAGTGGAGTTGGCCTCAGGAATATGGTGAAGATAAGTTTATAGTGCTCCTAGGCCCCTTACACATTGAACAGTGGTTTCTTCGAATATTGGGTCAATTTATGGAGGGCTCTGGTTGGACAACTATAGTTTCACATGCCGGAATAACCACTGCTGGATCAGCAGAAGCTATGATGAAGGTAGGGTGCACGATGAAGCAACAATCTCGGTACTGATCTATCCTTGCATTTGTGTGTTCCAGGTAACTCACATTAAACGAGCAAGGGAAGTTCATCAGATCACTGCAGCAGTTCTCCACAGTTTGCTTATGGATATATATGAAAATGTAAACCCCGAATGTGAACTACAGGTGGAAGAGTGGATAAAGACGAAATCTCAGAAATGTCCAACATTTTACTTCTGGCTCACTGTCTTGAACCTAGAAATTCTCCTCCTATGTTTTGTGCGATCGTTGAGGCGGGGTGACTTTGATTTATTTAGAGAAACTCTGAAACAAATGGCTCCGTGGTATTTTCTTTTTGACCATCAAAACTACGCTCGGTATCTCACTGTTCACATCCAGGACTTGGAAGAGCTACCCAGCAAAGCCCCTGATATTCATATAGAATTTTTATTGAGTAAGTATTGTCTCAATATATCGTGATAATTCATTACCTATATCAAGTATGATCGAATTTGTCTGGAATATCTCTTCTCTGTCGTAGAAAAGTTCGTGTTGCCCATAACTGAAAACCCTGATTCTTATCTTGCTATCGATCATGCCCATGAGCAAAATAATGCCAAAGTGAAAGGGAATGGTGGTGCGGTCGGTCTCACTAGTGACCCATCTGCATTGAGACGTTGGACCATCGGAGGACCAGAGATCTGCCGACTTCTGAATGAATTCAACCATTCAGAAGATGCTGACGATGACGAAGTTCCAATCTCGAGGACTCATCATGAACAGACAAAATCTTATCAATCAAGATTTGCCGATCATTTTGCAGCACTCAAGGACGCTTTCTTGACGTACGAGAATCCCTTTTCTGTTCAGGGAACAGAACTTGTCGCCATAGACTCCAGCGGTGTTGTAGGCACTGATGCGGTTCAGACCTTGTACGATGCTGTGGAAAAGAGCGAATCCATGTACAAGTCCTTTGTCGACGAGAGACTGGTCAAGAAGTCGAGATCTCTTCATGATCCAATTCGAAAGTGTATTACTAAAATATTCACACATCAGAAAAAAACAGCAACTTCTCCAATGAAAGCTCTGAAATCGGATGTGCAACTGTACTCACGGCTCTTTATTGTGTGCATTTCACGAGAATTGGACCTTGATATATTTTTCCAGCATGAGAATCAACTGTATCCGCCATCTTTATCGTTGAATGGATCTATGCGGACTGGAAATAAATCTCAGCTCGTAGCAATTCTTGAAAATCTGCTCAAGAAGTTGCCTGAAGTAGACCCACCTCACAGATGTGAAGGATTGATCATAGATGGAGCAGTCTTAGTTCACAATATCAAGCCTCGTCCTGATGTGAAAACCTTCAAGAGCTACGTAGGCCAGCTGATTTCAAATATAGGGTACACTCGAACACAGATGGAAATATTCAGAGTGGATATAGCATGGGATCTGTACTCTTGCTCGAGTCTTAAAGAGGCCACTCGGTCAAGCAGGGGAACAGGAGTGAGGCGTAAGGATCTACCAAACAAAGGTAAACTATAAAAATACTTTATATCTCTTCATCTCTTGTGTGCCCGTGTCTAATATTCCACTATAGCACATGTTTTCACAGGTACTCTACCGACTAACTGGGATGACTATTTGAGAAACGATCACAATAAGCAAGAGTTGTTCTCATTTCTTGCCAACGAGATCTTGAAGGAACTCAAGGATGTGGAAGTCGTAACTAATGTCGATGATGTTATACGCTCATCTGAGGGTACACAGTCGTATCTGCAGGGTGTTTCGTGCGCTGCGATGGAAGAAGCAGATGGAAGGTTGATGCTTCATGTGAATGATATGGTGGAGAATGGTATCCGTTGTATAGTTATACGAAGCTCGGATACAGACGTTTTGGTACTGGCAGTTTCTCATTACCATGCCCTCCACAGAAAGGGCTTGCGAGAATTGTGGTTACACTTTGGAGCAGGCCTCAAACGAAGGTTCATTAGTGTGCATGGTATCGCTGGTGTTCTTGGGGAGGACACTTCTATCGCACTCAGAGGGTTCCACGCCTTCACTGGATGTGACACGGTATCCTTTTTCGGTTCGAGAGGAAAACAGTCAGCATGGAATGCTTTCTTGAATTGCTCGAAGTAAGTATATTTCCTGGGTGATCTATTGATATGTATTCATCTGTTATATAAGAAACGCTCCATTCCATTCACAGACGCGAAGACATTATATTAGCATTCAAGAAGCTCTCATATCCAATGCTAGAAGATACCATAGACGATGATCTCATCAAGACGTTGGAGAGATTCACGGTATACATGTACGGGATCCGTGACGAGACCTGCTCCGGTGTGAATGAGGCTCGGAAGCACATGTTTGCCACAGAAAACAAACATATTGGTGCAATTCCGCCTTCCCTGGAAGCTTTCGTTCAACACATGAAGAGAGCTGCCTTCCAGAGTGGACATATCTGGGGAAGGGCCCTTGAAAATTCACTACCACCATCCCCTGAAGGGTGGGGATGGAAAAAAGAAGGAGATACCTGGGTTCCGCTTTGGAGTGAGCTTCCCGAGATCTGGTCGGCTTGCAGGGCTCTAGATAAATGTGGCTGCAAGTCTGGATGCGACACAAAACGTTGTTCCTGCCGTAGGAACATATTACCGTGCTACCTGGGATGCACAAGTTGCAAAGGGGAATGTTCTAATAAAAAGTAAGTCGCTTCGAATTATCCAGCGTGAAAGATTATTTCATATCACTGCTTGATGTAGGACCCAAACGCAACTCGAACCCCACTCAAACCAAAATGAAGAGGAGGAGGTTGATGGAGGAGTAAATTAGTTGAAACATTGATCAAGGTTTGTATGTTCATCAAAAATAGTTATACCTAAACTAAAATGTTCTTTTTTCTAGATATGACCTGAACATCCACCCTGGATATTAATGTTTTCGCATGTAGGTACTAGAATTTTTGTATTGAAACAATAAAGTCCAAAATTAACAGCATCGAAAAGTGCTAATCAGTTATGTTTAATTTATCATAGCCGCTCAGGATTTTTTCACATTCATAAAGTCACTTAGCGAATTTTCAATATTATTGGTGGCCGTGTTGGCGGCCATTTTATAAAATGGCGGATTTTTAATTACATTATGCTCGTCATAGAGCGATGCTTCATCTATGTCGAATAGGAAATCTCCATAAGAGAACGTCTCACTTTCATGAAGAATTTGGCTTTATTCTAATTTTCAGCATATTCGCATACCTTTTTTCTGAATTTTCTTCGAAATTTTTATACTAAAATACTCTCCACATAATTTCGTTGGTTCAATCATCTTCAGGCATGCTTGATATATGAAAAACCATACCTCACACGCCACGAATCATGCAATCATGTTAATATGGCACGATATCGGACGCCATTTTCCAAAATGGCGGTTTTTGAGGCTTTTCCGATGATCATAGAGCTCGAAGAATCTCAATATTGAATTTATCAGGACAATATCATTTGAAATCGACATCTGGATCATCTCTGTAGCTTTATTCCGATTTCTGAAAAATATATCGTCGAATTAACCCCCCTCTCCCCAAAATTCGGACCCCCAAGCCCAAAAAAGTAGGTGCTGCGGGCCAAATCGTTTATTTAGGTCTACTGAGCATGTGTGCAAATTTGCTTGCTTTCTATACGAAATGCGGTTTTTTTCTGCGTACCTCTAGCACATTGGTTAGGCAATTCGTAAGTTATTCCGCATCACATAATCAATGTTGACCAGTTTATGTCCCATAGAAAACTATCCTAATAAATTGATAAACATTGATATGTTACTATGCTTGTAGTCCAATACTCATAGATGATGCAACCCGAATAAATTGTTGTCTTGTTCATCTCATTCATCTCATTAAGAAAAGTTTCCACGATAACACGTCAATGATTAATTTTAGAATTATATCAGTCGTTATCAAAATAGTGGTTTTGATTTCCGGAACGACGCTCTTCGTGAAAGTGATCTGACTACATGTACGATTGTACGTATTATTCTTCTTATTCCTTCCCATTTGTAGAGTCTTTCACGAACGATACCTATATATATCGACAGTTTCCTTCAAACACCACTCAGTTTTTCATCAATTGTTTGTCAAGCATATTTCTCCGAATTTTCTAAATGGAAATAAATCAGAATTCGTTTTCAAAAATGTTTCGAGACAGGCCATGCTTCACATTTCAAATTTAATATTTTCCATTCAAATAATCGCAGAATCTGTTGTTTCATCAAACTTTGAAAGATGTCTGATAAAACAAGTCGAAGAGTTTTTCGTTTCCTAAAAGAAGTCTCCACTAATTTGATGAAGAATGAATGAAAGAAGAGCGCACGAAATAAGGGATCACCTGTATTATGTTCGTGAAATATCATGCGTTTCTATAGGCAGGATAGGGAGAGAAGAACATGAGGCGATGAAGGCCGCCGTTCGCTTACAAATCTGTAACCAGTGGAGGAGCGAAGGAACATTCGGACATTCTCGCCTCTGGAAGCAAATTACAGACGACTACCCCTCACTCAGTATGAAAGGGGACAGCATAACACCGATCATTCGATTCAGGAAAATGCCCCAAGTCAATATTCCTACTAGGATAGACTGGGAACAGAATGGGCACTGCATAATACCCACCAAGGGCATCATCTGGTATACGGATGGCTCCAGGATGGAAGAATGCGCAGGTGCTGGGGTCATGCCACGATTTTTCAGGCTGAAGTCTTTGCAATACTTGCATGTGTTCGAGAGAATATCGAGAGGGGCTATCACAGCCAGCAAATCACTATATGCACTGACAGCCAGGTGGCGATCAAGGCGCTCACCTCGTATAGGGTGATCTCCGCCTTGGTGTCAGAGTGCATAGATAGCCTACAAAGGCTGTCAGCAACGAACAAGGTATGTCTTTTGTGGGTTTCTGGTCACTCAGAGGTACCAGGTAACGAAATGGCCGATGGTCTGGCCAGAAAGGGGGCGAAGGGTTCAGTGATTGGCCCAGAGCCAATCTTAGGGGTCACTCGATCCTGGAGCAACTTCAAGATGAAGGAAATCCTGACGAAAAAGTTTCAGGACAGCTGGAGAAAGGCTCCTCGAATGAGGCAGTCCAAACTCCATATAGGAAACCCGTCACGAAGACAGACCAATGCCCTCTTGGCTTTGAACAGGAAGGAGCTGAAACTGGTGGTGGGCCAGCTGACAGGGCTCTGCCACCTGAACAAACATCTCAGCATGATCGGGTTTGTGGAGGATCCTGAATGCAGATGGTGGCAATAGTGGCAGCAAGGGATATCCATTTTGGGAGCAGTATCCTGGACCCAGAGGATGTTAAGAAGATTTGGCCTAGGAAGTTGGTCTCTTTTGCTCGCGAGATCGGCCTTCTTCATCGCTGACTTGAGATCCCAGGAATGTGGGTGCACAATGGGCCCGAAAAGGGAGGCCTAAGTGCGTCAGGTCCCGGACCGCCCACACACATACATACATACATAGGGAGAGGAGGTAGGAATTGTTGAATATCCTGTTCTAGATTACCTATAGTATCTCAGACAAGAGTTGGAAGAAGAATCTCAATGAATGATCGTATGTAATGTCAAGTTCATCAATTCCGTTCTCAATTCTGTTAATTACGAGTCATAGCACCACTATTTACTATATGATTACGGCAAACAAAAATGTAAATGAAATATTTTTCTGAATACTAATGTATAATAAGTTGACCTTTGCGAAAAATCAGCTGAAAATAATTAGTGCTTCGCCGACGAGAAATGGATATTTCCATAGTTTTCTGTTGGGTTATTGGTAGCGCTCGTCTCCTATGGAAAGAAAACATTATGATGTTAGAAAAATGATTCAATGGAAACAAATGATTACCTTAAGAAACTACAGGTATTCATCGCTCAAACTGGCTTCAGCCCTAAAAATAGGAGGTATTTCACGACAATTTTCAACCGCACCACACATTCTCACAGAAATTCGCTTGAACGATAACTCTTATATTTCATAGGGTCCAGTGTTTCTGATGAATATTTCTTCGATTCCGTCTTATTGGCACATTACTCCCTATCTTCGACTGAAACTATTCTGATAATTTTTCTTGCATATTGCTATAGCAGGAGAGTTGAGAAAAGATATTCTATGAAAAAAGTCAGGATCGGACTTGCTTCTTGAAAAGAACTACAAGACAATTATAATTTCCGAAAACGATTTGTCTGTATCCCGATATTCTCCAAAGAAGATTCTCCTCCAAGAATTTCTATACATTTTCTGCATCTCTTATGTTTTTTCGAATAATTTGCCTATATTTTCTGATCATATCTAGAGCTGTAACTATCCATAACATCCATCCGTAACATAAATTTTGTGGAAATCGTTTGTGGAGTTTTTACATTTGCCATGGATTTTCAACAAGTAACGTCCGAGTTAATTCAAAACTGTAACTATCCTTTTCCTCAGTTCCTCTCTGGTGCTGATTACGGTCTGATAGCCTAATCCTTCTATATTTCTCCATCATTGATAATAGCATATAAGAGTCTAATACTATGAGATTAGGGAATCTACGGGGCGAAGGATGAGGGACGACAGGACCTATCTAGCGAGTAGAGAATTGGTTGTCTAGGTATTCCCTCACTTGTATTGAGTGATGTGGAGGTACCCTATCCTGTTGGGAGCATAGAACTCAAAGAACTTGGAACTGTTTCAGTATTTTCTGGGTCATGAGAACGCCAAACTCAACATTTTGATTCGCTGATTGTGAGAGTTAACACACTCACACAAGTTCCTCTATGTGAGTAGTATAAGTTGCCACGTAAGCAATAATACTCTTTATTGAGTGTACAATGTTTCCAGATTTTCACATGTAGTAACAGATCACAATTGAAAATCATTTGTTTCCATGTTATGACGATTCAGAAAGTCGAAATTTTGACATTTGGAAAGAAAATGAGTTTGCTAATCCTAGCTCTCAAATTTTCTTGTCCATAGTAGGCCATTTTGTGGAGTATTAGTAGAGGTGAGTTGCTGGTGAATTCCAGTCAATAACATCCAGACGTTCTTGAATTATCTTTCATCGTAGTTTCGCCCAGAATTAAAATATTGCTCTGTATTTCTATTAGGAAAAGGCAATATATATTTTTTTCAAATATATATCAACTCACCTCGACTTCCTCTATCCGGCATCAAGCTATGGCTTCTTAGTCATGACTTAACCTGTAGAAAACACAGCCTTTTCATTTGGTGTCGTTGAATTCAATCAGGTTGTCGGTTCCTCAGGCTGTAATTTCATCATGGTCTATATTGACGACGTTGACTTACTAACTTACTAACTGTTGTCGTGAGGTCTAGTTTCATGGAATGAAGTGGGTAGTCAGGAAGAAAACGCAGTATGGAGAGTACTGTCATCTGCGAAGCTGTTGATAGGATAGGTAGTTATCCAACGAAATATTGATATGGAGTAGAAACAATCTTGGGAAAATAATCCTCTTGAGATACCTACCGGTCTGTTTGAAAGTATAGGCTTGACGGAAGAATTATGTTGAAAAACGATGTATCTGAATAACTGAGCTACAATTTGAATAATAAATGTAATAGGAAAATGAGATCTTGACGAGAGCTTGGTTTTAGTAGAACTGATTCTTAGATGTGCAACGATGTAGCATTCAAGTTCCGAGGATTGGAGTCATCAGTAATATGATACTCCTGAGATGGTACTTGCACGAGAATACTTGGAATATCATCGGAATATTCCTAGAATAGCCCTATATAGTTAATGGACAGAACGGATGAAGCTGGGCGACAAGCCAAAGCTTTC